GGTATTTTCCTTCCTGGTTCAGCCCTTCCCTTATTCAACTCCTCACATTTTCATTTGTGCCTTGGCTCCTCTAGCTGCTTAAAACCCCAGCTGGACAACCTCTCCAGGGCCTGAACTTCGGAAGCTGAATGTGTGTATAATTAAACTTAATTGAGCCAACTAGAAACACTGATTACCAAAAACTGGCCTAAGTGCAAGGAGGCATTGCCGTTTGGGAAGACAGTTAAACAAAGCCTTGGAAATGTGACATGTGGAGAGGAGACATCCTCCCAGCCTTCCCGGTGGAGCAGCAGCAACATCGGGGCTCCCTTCAGCTTTCCTTCCGTGCCCCTCCCTGGGCTCAACTTGTGCTGGAAGGCTCTATGCAGGGAGTTCCCAAGGAACATACCTGCTGCCTTCAAGCTGTCCTGTTCCTCAGAGAGCTCCTGTACGAGTGGATATCTGGACTCTAGGGTTAATGCAGTATCCCAAGAACCTGTGGTTTTCTTCTCAGTGTTGAGGGGAGGTGTGACCAGTCTTGCCATCACCCTTGGCCAGGTAACTGCTGTCATCCTGTGACCTATGCACCAGAGCAGTCTTGGAGGAAGCCTGGGGCTTCACTGTCACAGCAAAGGATTCTTTTCTTCATTTGTTACACACCCAAATATTTTTTTAGTGCCTTGTATGTGCCAGGCTGTCTTGCCAATGAGTTTCAGCCCCGGGCAAGGTCGCTATGGATTCAATGTGACCAAAGAAAATTGACAACAGAACGCTCTTTGGGGTGAATGGGTTATACCCAACTTTATTTCCACAGTGGCAGATTAATCACTAAAATCTTGTTCACTTAGAGCGAGTCTGTATGCAGCAAGCCAGTCTCTGCCTCTAGGCCCCTCTGTCCACACAGCCGTCCTCTGGGCTTTTCTGCACAGTCCTCTGGGCCTCTGTCCTCGGCACTGCCACCACTCCAGCCTCTGCTCTGCTCTCTTGCAGCCTTACAGCCCTGCCACCGTGTTATGCCCAGAGCACTGGGCGGAGTTCTTTATATGGAGTCAACAGCCATGTATCGCCCACAGGTGTGCAGTGAGCTAGTCAACCAGGGCCTGGTGAGAATCCTGGCCACAGAAACTCTCATTTTATCCACACAGGCATAGCTAGGTTTGCAAGCCTTGAGAATTAGGTGGAGGTGAGATAGTGGGTGGGAGTAGAACCAGTGGTAGGGAGACTCAGTAACGACCTCCTGGGCAGGTAGGAAAAGCCATGTGGCCCCACCACCCAGCCCCAAGGGGCACAGCTATTAGAGGTACTGGCAAGCTTAGCAGAAGTGGTTCTCCAAGAGGTGACTCCATGTACTCTGGGCTGCAGGGGCTTTGCTATAGAAAGAACAGGACTCCAGCTGAGTCCCCAAGCAGGCTGAGGAAAGAGTGGAGGGTTGCTCTTCCTTGTCTTAGATCTCTAGTTCTTAATCTTTTTTTTTTTTGGTATCCTTAATCTAAAATTACATGAGAAACATTATGTTTATTAGAC